AATAATAATAATTGTAGGTTTTGAAATGCAGCGCTTACTTAACGCTGACCAGCATCCAGTGTTCTTTCATTCACACTGCAGTTTGCCAGGTGAGAAAGATCAGGTCCGTGCATGAAGATCCAATTAAAGTGATGTATTGCTATAGCACCTATGTACAGGAATCTTCTCACCTAAGGGTCAGCATCTGCTTGGAGTTAGATAAGAGAGGACTGAATTCAAGGGAGATTGGACTTAGTTCACTTGCGACTATGTAGGGATTCTAGGCTGATTCCTCTTTTAACTCCACTTCCAGGTTGTGCCACTCCTTCTCCTGCAAGCTGTGAATTTTAAAAACTAGCTAATAGGCAAAAGATGGGACCCCTATTCCAGTGGCAGTTGGGGAGTCAAATCCCCACCCCCAAAGGGAGAATTCCCCATGGAAGAAGGTGGAGAAATACTCAACCTGCTAAAGTTGAGAGGCATTGCTCCACATGTGTGGATGTCTACTTCTGATGTGGACACATCAAGGAGAGATGGGACAGACTTCTCAAGTCTTTGCTAAGGGTTTGGAGCAGCTTTTGGGGGCAGACATACAAGCCCCAACTTACCCTTTCTTGAACAGCAAGAGGTCTACTTCCCCAAACTGAAAACCCACAGTCTCTCCCTTGGAGTTTGAAGTAGGAGGTCCTCCCTTTCTGATGGCCTTCCATTTAACCATGGCTTCGATAAAGGGACACAGTACCCAGCCGATAGACGGAGATCCTCAGCAGCTTCCGTTGAAATACAGAAGAGTTAAGACTCCAAACGTTGCTTTAAAACATTGCTGACATAGGAGCCGTTGAGCGTTCTCTCTGAGGATTGCCATCCAATTAAAGGATTTAGCTTGTCTTGATTAGGTTTTAAGTGTTTTGATTTTAACAGTTGATTGACTAAACTCGTGGCTTAGATCAAGGCTATTAAGACCTGCCTTGGAGGCAGTCAACTCCGTAACTTACCCCTGGACTCAGTCAAGTGGTGGGTTCCTGATCGCACACCATCGACCCATTGTAAAGGCTTCCGTCCATTCTCCCATGAATGTTTGTCTTCCTGTACATCAGCCTGAAGATCTGGATTAGAATCATAGGGATGGAAGGGACCTTCGAAGTCTTCTAGTCCAATCTCCTGCCCAAGGCAGGTGGGTCCTCCTACCATCTCAGACAAATGAGTTATCCAATCTTTTCTTGAAAACCTCCAGTGATGGAGCACCCACAACTCAATGAGACAAGCCGTTCCATTGATTAAATTGTTCTCATTGTCAGGGAATTCCTCCTTATTTCCAGCCTGGATTTCCTTCTGATGAGCTCCCACCCATTGCATCATGTCCTGCCCTCAAGTGCTATGGAGAATAAATTAACAACCTGCCTCAAGAAGTTGTGAATGCTCCAACACTGGAAATTTTTAAGAAGAGATCAGACAACCATTTGTCTGAAATGGTATAGAGTTGGACTAGAAGATCTCCAAGGTCCCTTCCAACTCTTTCTTTCTTTCTTTCTTTCTTTCTTTCTTTCTTTCTTTCTTTCTTTCTTTCTTTCTTTCTTTCTTCTTCTTCTTCTTCTTCTTCTTCTTCTTCTTCTTCTTCTTCTTCTTCTTCTTCTTCTTCTTCTTCTTCTTCTTCTTCTTCTTCTTCTTCTTCTTCTTCTTCTTCTTCTTCTTCTTCTTCTTCTTCTTCTTCT